AATTTATTCGGCACAAAGAATAATAAAGTAAAAACTATGCAATTGAGATTTGTGAAGAGCACATAAAATTAAATCGAACTACAAATTCATTATGTAAAAAAGAAAAGTGACAAAGTTAGTGAGACAACCAAAACAAGAAAATTAACAAAATTTTAAGCGACGGATGTAATATAGTACTACTCTCTTCATATCACAATAAGTGACTTTCCTTTTCGGGTCGTATCAAAATAAGTTTCTCACTTTCATTTTTAAAAATAAATCCATTCCAAAAGCTGCTACAATACACTTTAATAGAGTAAACAATACTACTACAATACCACAAATCTCCTACAGAGTACTTTTTAAAAAGTGTTCAGTAAACTTATAAATTAAATTTTAAATGACGTGAAAAGCTTATTGAAACACCTGTTCTAATATGTAGAGAGTAGTACTTTTATAGAAATTTGTATGGCTCTGTTATGAAGTCATAGCTGATATTGTGGCATGACATTTATCACTCATTTTTATCACTTACAAAATGAGTGATTAATGTCATGACACAATAGCTGATATGACTCCTGGAGTCCCGGTTGTGATATGGGTCACTTTATTTTTTGGTATTATTATTACTTCTATAATAATCACAAAATAAATTGGCGTATCTATTGTAACTTTGTAAGTAATAATGCAACCCGCACGGGTAGCTCAACGGTGGTTGAGTGAGATTGTTGAATTGAAGTCTCAGGTTCAATTCCCGGTAGCGGTAGTGTGGAGTTCCATCCAATTTGGTAGTTCCTTGTGCACACCAGGCTCTGAACCACCTCACTCAAAAATCATTTGAGATCATAACGTGACTTTCAAAAGAAGCAAATCTCTTCACCAAGACGGTGAATATTGTTTATAAGGAGGTTTTCGAAACTTAAAAATGTAATGTTTGGTGTGTGCAATGTTACATTACAATGTCACTTTTTAATATATTATCTTTAATTAAATTACTTTTTTTATCTTTAATTAAATTACTATCCACAATTAATGAACGTTTGTTTGAAATAAAATGACGAATTATTTATATATTCTATAAAATATATCTTACAAAGTATTCAAACATTCACAACATTAACAACATGCATTCACCCGGGGCAACGTCCGGGTAAAACACTAGCTATTATCCTAAAAGTCATCACCGTTTAATTTGGAATATATATAACCGTAGCTCAACTTTCTCATATAAATAGGATTGGATCATTAAATGCAATACATAAAGCCTATTGATTCGGACTATATTTTCCTTTAATAGTTAATTTATTTAGGTTTTTATTTCAAATAATTAATACAATCCAGATATTCAATTAAATTTGTCAATTGTGTAGGTGCAGTATTATCCATATCCATATCCAGTACTGAGTCTTTCCAAATAATAATTCACTTTAATTCTCTTATTAATTTTTCTTTCCAAATTTTGTATTCTCTCACATATAATTCGGATGGTTACTTTGGTAAAGAAAATATAATAATTGTGCATTATTTCTAATATTTCATCAATGGAATCCATGCACCCAGATTTGTCTATTTGCACTCCGATATTAAATTGATGCACTTTTATTTAAAAGATTAGGCATCGTCGATTTTATTATATATTAAATTTGAATATTTTAATTGCACTTATAGTAGCTGAAAATAACATGTTTATTATGTTAATTTGCACATTTACGTTGTAAATATCACTTTTATGTCATTAATATGCACGGTCTATAATATTAACCTACACTTTACTTATGTAGTTGTGCACTTTAATACAAATTTTAGATAACAATGGCTAAAAAAATTAATATAAATATAAATTGGTGCAAATTAATATAATATCACATGTATATTGAATATTTACAAAAATACATAATTACATCACACTTTCCAAAATTCTACATTTGTACTTTTTGATAAATTAAATGAAATGCGCATTTTTACATATGAAATGCATGCACTTTTATCATGTTTAATCTAAATATATAAAAAAAGTGCACTATTACATCAAACCTTCTAAGATTTTGTATTAGCACTTTTTACAAAATTAAAGGCTCTTATTCTTCCATAATATCTACAAACAAAGAGATAAAATATGCATGGTAATAAGTGCATTCACAAAGTATCACAAGTGCATCAAAATTTCAATAGAAAATTCAATGTTGTTATCTTCAAATTAAATACATGGCTATTATGAAAGCATTTCATATAATAAACACCTAAAATAGCTACTATAAAAAATATAGAAGTTCAAAAAATCTGTTAGTATAAATCTATAAATCTAAAAATTATGTAACAATAATATGTAAAAAGGCAAAAACAAATACTTTGTAAAATATAATAATGTGGAAACTAAAGAAGAACGTATATGGATGGGAGAAAATGGGGGTATGGGGTGCTCCACGCTAATTGGTCGTTAAATCAGCCACTTGAATGCTCATGCTTCCACTAGTTGATGTCATACTCTATCATTATTGTTCCCTACCACTTGCCTTCTATACGTTCCCCGAACGGGATGATGGACCATGCTGAAATCACCATTGATCTGGCCCAAGTATCCTGGTTGATCCGATACATATATCTCACTGGGCCTGTTCTTTGCCTAGATTCCGGGCTGTTTATTGGAATGGATATTTTGGGCCTTTGATCCGGGTATTGGGCCTTCGGTCCAATATCCCCACAACTGGTATGCACAAATAGGCCATGACAAAATTAATTGTGTCATTTTAATGTAGATGAAGTAGTAGTTACGTTGTCAAAAAATGTAAATGAAGTAGTGCCAATACTTTATTACTAGATATGTAATATGTATGGTTGTCATATATGTAGCGGAAGTATAAATATATATTAAGTATGAAAACTATATCTGTAAAATTATAATTTAGGAAATGCATTCATGAAAATCTCTAATATAATAGTTGATGAAAAAACTACAAGTAATTTAGATGACGAAATTATTGAAAAACTAATTGAAAACTTTCATTACGGTGATGATATGTATATTTTCAAATACAATGTTTGTTCCTAATCTATTCGTGATCTCCGCATATGTTTTTTAGAAAGGTCTCGGTTAAATTTCAAATCAGAATTAAACATAACCGAATGCACTAGCATGAAGATCTCCAAATGTAGGACCATCAATCATTTTGACTTTTCACGATCTTCTCCAAATGGAGATCTTCTCATTTTGACTTTTCACGATCTCCTAAGTTGAACTTTGACTCTAAATATCTACATATCTATATTTATAAAATTCATAATAAATTAACGTTTAAATAATATGTTTTACAATGAGGATATGAAATAAATTTTTAATCATAACATAATGTGAGTTTTGAATAATTAATGGTCAAAGTTTATAAAATTTAACTCAAAAGAGTCAAACTGAGAAGATTCTAGGGTTACGGAGGGAGGTAGTACTACATATATACACTCACCTAGTAATGAATAAACATTACAAAAACCATTTGTTAATATTATATTTTCGTATGTGATAATATATACGGAGTATATTTTTAGCAATTGTTCCAATAGTTTGCAGTCGCTGATTTTTTTAAAGGTTTAGAAAAGATCAGTTATCCTTTAAATATGAGGAGTCCGCATTTAAAAGCATCCGAGCTATGTATCTAAAAGTGGGAGAAAAAACCTAAAAGTGTGGAAATAATCTTGACTAGTCTAGATTTAAATTTTAAAACCAGAATTAATGTTAATTATAATTAATTATTTACAGAATTAATGTTGTGTTAAAACTATTTACCAATATACTGAAGGGCTTAATACTGGTCGGGGAAAGTCGTCAAACCGTTTGGCGATTTATAAGTCGTCAAATCATTTGGTGACTCTCTACTTAATTAATATGGAGAAAGTGCGTACCAGGAGAGACTAAGGGAAGAGGTGGGGCCAGTTTAGAAAATATCCTCTTTTTTTCTTTAAATAGCTATAACTTTCATATTTTTCTTCCAATTTTTTAAAACATATACCAAATTTTATAACTTTTTGTGATCTTTCATATGACACCAATATGTAATATATAAAGTTTAAAAAAAATCTGAAGATCATACGGGGTGAAAAACTAATTGCAATTATGCACCGTCAATCAACTTAATTCTCAACCAGTTTAAACCAAAATTTTTACTTATGTGATCGAATCCTCATATAAATTCAAATTTTCAATATATTTACCTAATATAGTTTTTACATAAATTCTTACACTTTTTAATCTACATCAAGTTTTAACCAAAAAAATTTTGCAAAAATATGTGGATTCGATCACATACAGTTCTTTAATCTACATCTATTTTTTACGAAAATATGAGCTTAAAAATAGAGCGTAAAGAACTGTATGTGATCGAATCCTCATATTTTCGTAAATTTTTTTTGGTTGAAACTTGATGTAGATTAAAAAGTGTAAGAATTTAAGTAAACACTATATTGGGTAAATATATTGAAAAATTGAATTGATATGAGGATTCGATCACATAAGTAAAATTTTTGGTTTAAAATGGTTGAGAATTAAGTTGATTGACGGTGCATAATTGCAATTAGTTTTTCACCCCATATGGTCTTAAGTAGAGGATTCATTCAATTTTTTTTTTTCAAAATTAGTTTTTCACCCCAAATGCACTAACATAACCAAACTTTAAATTGATGTCATATGAAAGATCACATTATAAAATTTGGTATAAGTTATAAAAAAATTGGAAGAAAAATATGAAAGTTATAACCATTTAAAGAAAAAAGAGGATATTTTCTAAACTCGTCCCACCTCTTCCCTTAGTCTCCTTGTATGCACTTTCTCCATATTAAGTAGAGAGTCGTCAAATGATTTAACGACTTATAAGTCGTCAAACGATTTGATGACTTTCCCCGACCAGAGTTAAGCTCAACAATATATTGATAAATAGTTTTAACTCAACATTAATTCCGTAAATAATTAGATAATTAACATTAATCCGGAAAAAGAAGCCCGGACCAATTCAATTTAATGTGATCCGTGCACGAGTTAATTGACTGGTTACTCATAAAGGATACGGAGGAATCCCTGTTTTAGTGGGATGCATACACTCCTACAGAGAGTCAAACGCTTATCGTCCTCCCGAAATTTAATGAAAGATTCGAATTCAAAGCGAGGGGTTGTTGTGAGTTGTGATGCTGAGAGATTAGCAGACCCCTTTCTGCCTACGCCACAAAACCCCACAGCAGATCTGCCGCCCTCCATGACAACCGCATCGCCACCGCCGCCGCCACTCGAAGAACTGCCCATAACCTCCGCCGCCGGCAGCCCCAAGAGTAAAAGCCACAAACTCACCCTAATCCCGCTCATCTTCCTCATCTACTTCGAGGTCGCTGGAGGGCCTTTCGGGGAGGAACCGGCGGTCCAAGCCGCCGGCCCACTGTTCGCCATCCTCGGCTTCCTTGTGTTCCCGTTCATCTGGAGCATCCCGGAGGCGCTTATCACCGCCGAGCTCTCCACAGCGTTCCCCGGAAACGGCGGATTTGTGATCTGGGCGGACCGCGCTTTCGGGCCATTCTTCGGGTCGTTTATGGGAACGCTGAAGTTCCTCAGCGGCGTCATAAACATCGCCTCCTTTCCACCTCTGTGCATCGATTACCTGAAACGAATTTTTCCGATCTTCTCCTCCGGCTTACCCAGATACCTGGCGATCCTGGGATCGACTGTCGTCCTCTCGTTTCTCAATTACACCGGCTTGACAATCGTTGGCTGGACAGCCGTCGTCCTAGGCATCGTCTCACTCATGCCCTTCATTCTGTTGTCGCTCATTGCCATTCCCAAAATCCACCCTCACAGGTCAGTCCAGCAATAATTCAGTTCTAGATATTTGTGAATAAGTACTGTATTTCAAGTTCTTTTATTACCCATCTATTATATAAACAGGTGGGGAAGTTTAGGCCAGAAAGGAGTGAAGAAAGATTGGAACTTGTTCTTTAATACTCTGTTTTGGAATCTGAATTTCTGGGATAACGTCAGCACAATGGCGGGTGAAGTCGAGAAACCTCAAAAGACTTTCCCAATAGCACTGTTTTCTTCAGTGATCTTCACGTGTTTGGGATACATCATCCCGCTGTTCGCTGCCACGGGAGCGGTGTCAGTTGACCAGAGCGAGTGGGAGTCTGGATTCATGGCGGTGGCAGCGGAGATGATTGCTGGGAAGTGGCTGAAGTTCTGGGTAGAGATCGGGGCAGTGCTTTCGGCAATCGGGCTGTTTGAAGCTCAAATGAGCAGCTGCGCATTCCAACTTCTAGGTCAGGCGGAGCTCGCCTTTATCCCTAAAGTCTTCGCGAAAAGATCGAAATGGTTCAACACACCATGGGTAGGAATCTTGCTGGCAGCGGTGTTCGCGCTTGCTGTTTCGAACATGGATTTCACAGACATAATTTCAGCAGCAAATTTTTTGTACAGTCTTGGAATGCTACTGGAATTTGCATCCTTCATATGGCTGAGGAGAAAATTACCTTTGATGAAAAGACCGTACAAAGTGCCATTGAATCTACCTGGTTTGGTGGTGATTTGCTTGATCCCGTCTGTGTTCTTGATTTACATTATGGTCATAGCAACCAAGATTGTGTTTCTGGTGAGTGGGTTGATGACAGTTGGGGGTATTGCCTGGTATTATATCATGAGATATTGCAAGGCCAAGAATTGGTTGAAATTCAGCCGTGTTGATGTTTCTGATGAAACATAGATAAATTATTAGGAAAATAAAAAGGTTGTACAGCCCATCTGAAGTTCTTTTTCATTTTAGTTTTCTCCCTTGTATTCTAAGTCATCAAATAATGGATGGTGAATTCATTCTTATTATGATTCTTTTGGGGGAAAAGAACTATAATGTTCTGTTCAGTTTAAAAAAACTATTCCCCTTCAAATGTTTGGATAATAATCATAATATTGTGTAAGAAGTTTGTTTCTAGTTTCTTGTTTATACATTGATAAAGTTGGGTCTTGGGTGCAATAAATCGATGTATAAAAACCATGAGTTGTGTTACTTGTGCACATGTTGAATTTGGTGAATAGGATAGAGAAAAAGTAGAGATAGATAGGAAGTAAAAAGGAAATGAAGAGAAAGAAATGGAGAGAAGCTGCACCCGCACATGTTAGTATGTTACCTATTATCCCTTTTTGTAACCTATATTTCAAGTTTATACAAATCTACCTTTGATTTGGTTAATGTGGTTTTCTATGTATCTCTACAGACTATAGGGTTAAGTAACTCTTATGTTCCTTTCAAATTTTTTAGTTCTATATCTCAAACCCATTGTAGGCTGAAGTTATACGAATTGCTTTTGTACTAATCTTTTATACATTAACAACAAGTGTTTTCCTTTCAAAACAATAGAACACTCATTAAATAAACTTATCCACGAGCAATAATGGATACAGTGAGATTTGGCTCAGCTAGTGCCCTAGAAGTGTGTGTAAAATTTTGAGAACCGATTGTAGGGTGTAAATCGTATTGTCGGTGGCGTTTTTTGTAATTTAAGTTGAAAATTGTGACTTTTGTTAATTCAACAACAATATACTCTTATTTAGCATTAAGTATATTTGATTGAGTATTAAGAGTCTAATATTTAGTATTGTGACCTTCACATCATATATCTTTTAATTCACTTTCTTTTTCTTATTTTTTTCTTTTGTAAAAGATTCTTAAATTATACTACCTGCGTCCAATTTTAGTTGATCATCTTTGACTTTAACTGTCAAATATGACCACCTGTTGAGGTTTAATTCCTTCAACCCGTATGACCAACACGTAACCTAAGGGTCTCGAGTGGATGATGAACAACTGAGATGAAGAACAAGCAAGGAAAGGGCCCAACGATGAGTGTTTATTCACTGGAAACGATTACAAAGCCGAAGGGCCGTTCGTACAGTGCTGTGCTATGTGCTGGTACAAATGCTAGATTGCTAGAGTGCTAAATTGCGAACCATTTAAAGTGAAATAAATGCTACTATTTATACTGCCAATGGGTGGTTGGATGTGTCGATGTGGCTGGCTGTGGACGGCATGATCCCAACCACCAAATCTTCTGCATTAAATGCGCTTCCCGCCAGGATCGTGGTTTCCCGCCATGGGAAGGAGACGTTCGTCCCCAAGGCTTTGGCTCCTGTCTCCTGCTGGAGTCCTCTCCTCCTGCCAATGAGTGGGGACGTTCGCCCCCAGGCACTTGAGTTATCCTCGACCTTGTTGAGGTTTAATTCCTTTAACCCGTAGGCCCAACACGTAAGCTAAGGGTCTCGAGTGGATGATGGACAAATGAGATGAAGAACAGGCAAGGAAAGGGCCCAACGATGAGTGTTTATTCACTCGAAACGATTACAAAGACGAAGGGCGGTTCGTACAGTGCTCTGCTATGTGCTGGTACAAATGCTAGAGTGCTAAATTACGAACCCTTTACAGTGAAATAAATGCTACTATTTATACTGCCAATGGGTGGTTGGATGTGTCGACGTGGCTGGCTGTGGACGGCATGATCCCAACCACCAAATCTTCTACATTAAATGCGCTTCCCGCAAGGATCTTGATTTTCCGCTATTGGGAGGAGACGTTCGTCCCCAAGGCTTTGGCTCTTGTCTCCTGCTGGAGTCCTCTCCTCCTGCCAAGGAGTGGGGACGTTCGTCCCCAGACACTTGAGTTATCCTTGACCTATCCCTGACCTCGTATCAAGGGATGAGGCCGTTCGTCCCAATGTACCCTGCGGAAGTCTTGGGCCTGGATACCCGCTGACCGGGGTAGGTGCGTCCCATGAGACTTGTCTCCCTGTTGGGGGTGGGCCTCCTCCCGAACCGGTGGCAGATATCCCCTCCTTACTGGGCTTCCAATAGGACGTTCGTAGGGAAATCTCAAGGGCCTTCTGAGGACGTTCGTTGGAAAACCACCATTCATTGTTGGGCCATTCATAGGAGGCTATCACGGGTTGGTGGGCCGGCCTTTGTTGGGCCATTAACCCAAAACCAGGGGAATTGTGTTGGGTTGGGGAATCCCCAAAGGGGACAAACCTGTTCCGCACTGACTACGTTTACTTAGCTCAAGCTCAGGATCCAAAGGACCGGGCTGAAGGGCGGGTACGACGAGCGGATGACGAACGAAAACAAAAGAATCCCAAGACGGATCAAACAAAAGAATTCCAAGATGGATGAAACAAAAGAATCCCAAGACGGATCAAACAAAAGAATCCCAAGACGGATCAAACAAAAGAATCCCAAGAGGATCAAACAAAAGAATCTGAAGACGGATCAAACAAAAGAATCCCAAGACGGATCAAACAAAAGAATCCCAAGAGGATAAAAAAAAAGAATCTGAAGACGGATCAAACAAAAGAATCACAAGACGGATCAAACAAAAGAATCCCAAGAGGATCAAACAAAAGAATCCCAAGAGGATCAAACAAAAGAATCCCAAGAGGATCAAACCAAGAAAATCCCCACAGGGGAGAAAGGCGTTCCTCACCCAATTTGGCGACTTAGCTCAAGCTCAGGATCCAAAAGGACGAGGCTCAAAGGCGGGTACGACGAGCGGAGGACAGAACATAACAAACATAAAAGAATGGGAGACAACCATAGCAAACTAAGTGCTGCATTTTATTCATCGGCTCTACCGGATGGAGGATACATATCATACACGAGTTCGGAGTGAAATCAGAATTACAACATAGTGAAAGTAGTCATGTTTTATTGACCAAGTCAGGAAGCACGCCCGGATCTCTACAAGTCTCACCAGGATCCGGCCAGAGGGATTGTTCATGGCAGGATGATTAGGGAGCAGTTAATCGAGTCAACAGGGCTGCAGAACTTGACAAACTCCCCCGGTTATGAGGAAGGGCTGCCCTTCCCCTCCTGCCCCTGCACATTCTTTTGGAGAAGCTTCAGAGCCCCCTCATAAGCCTCCGCAAACAAAGCATTGAACTCGACAGCTTCAGGGTCAAAGGGAGCGGGATAGTAACGCTCAAAAACCCATCAGCGTTTTGGGGAGCAACCTGGAAGAAATGGTGGAAGAGGTCCAGATTCAGAGTCAACCCCTTCAAATTGCAACGGATGATGAATGCAGAGATAAACCGGTACGAGTTGGGCATGAACTGCGCCGGAACAACGTTATAAAGACAAAAGAATGCGAGGTAGAACGGGTGAAGGGGGAAGCGCAGTCCGACCTTGATGGAGTCCATACGAACCATGATCATCCTGAATGTCTCATGAACAGACTATCCGCACCACACAGGCTGTAGATGAATGGCGCAGGAAGCAGGATTCGCAGATCTTTCAAGGCCCTTACGCGAGAAAGACTGCTCGATCCCGGAAACATTATGGATCTGCACGATGTGGCGGGAGACGTCCACAGGAATGCCAAGATAAAAAACCTGCAGATCATCCCCTTTGGTCGCTTCGTCGCCGGAATCATAATCAACAGGGTGATCAGCCACGACGTTTGCTTGGGCCGTCGCCATCCGCTCACCTTCGGGGGCGATATCCATAACAACTTCTGCGCCCGCACCACCAGGAACAGTCATATCCGCCATAACCTGTCCTACCATGTCGGAGGTACCAGAGTGGTCGGAAGTACTCACCTCCCCCAAGGAACGGGAACTGGAGCCCGAACCAGAAGACGAGCCGGTAGAAGAGCCTGACCTGGAACTCGACTCGGAAGATATCTCCATAGAACAAGCCATATCAAAGGATGAAGCAAACGAGAGAAGGAGAGTGGGTTTAATTACCTGATGAACTTCAAAGAACGGATCAAGGAGCCGGAGAATACTTGCAGAAAAACTTTGAAGGCAATAGCGAACAAGGCATGAAGGTGAAAGCCCTAATCCACACGGAAGGCCCAATATTTAAAGGGAGGGGCACCTTACCCCTATCCAATCCATGTATGACGCGTGGCGAGGAGCGTACTCATGGACACGTGACACGCGGAGACGGACAGGCACACAATGATTACCTTTTCATCGGAAGTTGAACCGGCCTACATAACCGTCACATCAGGGACATCGGTAGGGAGGTACGTCAGGAGTTTTTTTACTTCATTATGTCTTGTGCACGCTCGGAACATCAGAAATGGGGGACTTGTGTTGGGTTAATGGCCCAACAAAGTCCGGCGCACCAACCCGTGATAGCCTCCTATGAACGGCCCAACAATGAATGGGGGCTTTCTGACGAACGTCCTCAGAAGGCCCTCAAGATTTCCCTACGAACGTCCTGTTGGAAGCCCAGTAAGGAGGGGATACCTGCCACCGGTTCGGGAGGAGGCCCACTGACCAGGCTAAACTTGCAAGTGTACAAGTGCCGATATAGTAATAAATTCTGGTAAAATACCGGGTCGAATCCACAAGGAAACGTTGTTTAATTCAAGCCCGAGAGTAGATAACTTTAAATGAAGAATTGAATAAAGTGCAGGGATTTTGATTTGTGTTTTATATTTTTGGTTTTTTCACTTTTTGTTCAACAAGATAATCGTTAACTAACTTTGAGTTCAAGATAAATGATAACAACAACTAAGGCTTCGGGAATCACTTAAATGCTCTAATAGGGTTGAATATTAGTTCTTTACCAATAATTATGAATACGATGTCGCTAATATATTCTCAACTCCGGTTAAGGCAGCGAGAGCGTAGTTTTCGATACGTGTAAGTCCCGTTACGGCTTACATTCATCTACCGAAAACCCCGTTGAATATCAAGACATCACACCCGTATCATATAAGACCGGATATATTTCTATTCTCGGTACTATATATGTTTATCCTTTAATGTTCATAGTTTATACTTCAATGTTAATTGCAAGTAGAAACTAAATTTAACATACTTCTATGTTGTACACCATAGTCATAAACAATCAATATATAAAGGATAAATCACAATTTATTGGTTTAGAAATTTTATCAAACACCTAGTGGGCATAGAAGTTCATCCCTAGCCTTAGCTAAGAAATTAGCCTCTAATGCTCATATTAATCACAATACAATAATAAATGTAATGGAACATGAA